TTTATATATATATATATATATATATATATATATATATATATAAAATAAGAATCGAAAAAAAAAAAAGAGAGGACGACTGTACAAATAAGACAAGAATTATATATATATGTAATAATAAAAATAAAAATAAAAAAGAGAGGAACTGATCATGATTATTTATAAACAAAGGAAAATTAATTGTTACTGAGGAAAAAATGAGCAATCTGCAAAAAAAAAAAAAGGTCAGAGGTTGTTAAAATATATTTTTTGAGTGTAATTCGAATGAAAAAAATTCGCATGAATTACACCTTAAGAATCAGCATATGAGAAATTATGTGCATATAGAGGTATCAAATGGGTTGGGTCGTCCATGAACGGCCTGGCCCAATCAGTAACAGTGTTGGGTTCGGCACGGCCCGATACGGTACTATTACGGGATGTGCCGGCCCACGCCCGGCCCAAGCCCGGTTCGGCCCAAGCACGTGTTTAGCCCCGTGATACCACCCTTGTTCAGCCCGGCCTAGGCACATGTTCGGCCCGCGAAGCAGCCCGCAAGAGGCCCTCCCAGCACGCTAGACTTGTGACTGTTAGGCCCTTCACGTGCCCAACGGTCAGTCCGTCACAGGCCTGCCGTTAGGCCCGTCATGGGCCGACCGTTGGGCACGCGAAGGGCCCAACGGTCACAAGCCGAAAATCCACCCCAAAAAACCCTATAAATACCTCTTAATCTCACCCTAAATTCCACACAACAATTCACTCTCAACTTCTCTCTCATTTCTGAAAATGTGTTTCGTAGTTTTATTGAGAGATTGTTATCAGTATAAGAAAAAACTGAAAGCGTGTTTCGTTATACATTTTTGAAAACTCCTCATAGTATTTTAAATAATATAGTAAATAATTAATAAACTCCACAATTAATATTCTAATAATTAATATAATTTAGAACTACCTGCTATGTAAGTGATATACTTACTAATCAGTTGAATAAACAATGGTGTACGTAAGTAAACAACAATTAGAATACCAATTACCATAAACACGTATTAATAGTTCATTTATATATCAAGAATATAGTAACTAACATTAGCATGTCAACTACAAATAAGTTTTTAACCAAAAGTACATTACAAATAAATAGCAAAATAATAGAAATAAGTCTATTGAATGATTAGTAACAAAAAAAAAAGGTTTGCTTAGTGAATAATTCTAGCCTATATTACTACCGTATATACCAATTTTACATTTGATCAGCTAAATGATTCCTAAAATTAGCCATTTGATTACGCTGTCGCTGAGTCCCCATTTTTGGATATTTTTGCTTCTTGTACGTCCATACCTTGTTCCTTTCCTTGTTGTCCGTTTTGTTCTCCATCAATATCTTCTAAAGGCAAATCAACACCATATTGTCTAAATAGTAGATCATGTTGCGCGTGCATCTTAATAAAATTATGGATCACACAACAAGCAATTGGTATTAGCGATTGTCTCGGCATCAAATAATTGGTCATAAGCTTAAGAATTTTGAACCTTGCTTTCAAGACCCCAAAGCACATCTATATGCAATTACATAATGGAGAGTGATAATAATCGAATAACCCTTCTAGTCCAATTGGCTGGCCACTGTTTCTAAATTATTGAATATGTTACCTCTGACCATGAAATGGTGTCAAAAAGCCTTGCGTGTTGCTATAACTGGAATTCACAACGTAATATTTTGGGCAATGTGGCATGAAGAATTTGTTTGTTGGATCTTTCATAATCTCAGTTAACACTCTGAAATCAGTAGCTGAGTCTTCTCATCCAGTATCCACATAGGTGAATAGCATGTCAAAACTACACGCCGCCATTACATTTTGAGTACATGAATGTCTTCTTCCTCTATAGACTACTTGTTGATGTATAGGTAGGACAACCATTATGTGGGTACTGTATATTGTACCAATGCAATCCTATTTAAATTCATAAACAATGAGTTAATATTAATTTATAACAACTTGTCATAAACTTTATTTATGAGCAGAGTCGGATTGTACCTTAAACCATGACCAATACTTTGGGTTGGACTGAATCTCTTTGTGGACAATGTATATATTTGGTGGTTTAATAACTTCAGGTGCTAATGTACACAATGCGACAAACAAATCTATCTTGTATCTCTCTACTGCGGTCCGAATGAGCAATCGTTCTTAAGAACATTAGTAGTGACTCTTCTATTGATGTAATTGAAGAATGTAGTAAGTTGCAGCCTTGACTTAATTGAACAATTGTCTCAAATGTGTCTCGGTGCATACGACATATTTCAAACACATCTTGGGGATGCCCGTTCGTTTGTTCTAATACATATTCTTGTATTGTCAACGCGAATTACGACGAGGTTGTTCTAATACATATTCTCGTCCTGTCAACACAGAATCATGACGAGACTGTTCTAATACATATTCTTGTCCTGTCAACGCAGAATCGTTGACAATTATGATGAGGCTACCTAGTTAGTCTATTTATAAGCTACATAAGCAATTTGAAATATGTTTCTAGTTGTTCATCATCATCTAATGAGTCGAAGAAGTCTAAAATTGCAACATCATCGAGATTTGCCAATTGCATCAAGATCAAACAATGACATTCTTTTATAGTTGTTGATATAATTTTTTTTATGGGTTATAGTTGTGATATTGTTAAGCACAACATTGCATAACTTTTGTAATATAAACATCTACAAAATTGAAAATATTAGGATGATACTACATTGGTGTCATGGAAAAAGAAATAACGACCTATCACATTTTAAAATGTCATTATTGCTTCTAGAATTTAATGCGCCCCTTCAACGACGTCTTGTGAAATCTTTTTCATAACCTTTTATATGACGTAGAAGACCTTATTTATTGTAGTGATATTGGTTACAGAAGTGCTATTTTATTTTGAAAGAGTATTGGGTTAACGTGTTGTCACTAGTAGAAATACGTTATTGAACAATGATTTTTAACCATCGTTAAAAGATACGGGGACGGTTAGGCGAACGGTCATAGTATCTAGAGTTGTAAAAGGTTGACGGCCTTTTACGATGGTTAAAAACCGTCTTTAAACATTCATATTAGACAATGGTTTTATCGTCTAATATGATGTTGGATGTTAAATTTGGCGGCATCAGATCAACATTAGATGACAATTTTTGTTTTAGCTGTTGTCTAATGTATATGTTTAGCAACGGTTTTTTTTTTATTTAAAAACTGTCATTATATGTTGTAGAATCAAAAAAATTATGTATATTTTATAGTTTTTCCCGCGGGTGGCCTATATCCTGTATGTTATTTGACTTCACAATTCTTTGCTTTCAATTAATTATATAATTACAAGTATTAACGATAATTTACAATAAAACAAAACAAAATAACAAATAAATTACAAACGGATAAGATGAAATGAATTACTAAATAGTACAATAGTATACAATGCATGTCGCATTATTAAGATTACAACAACAATGAATAAATTAAATATTCATAAAAGCACATATAAATACATGATCATTTTTTTTCTTCCTATTATTACCTTTTTCAACACATGTTCATTTAATATCCAAACAAAATTAGAATCATCACTTTCAAAAACATCAACCTCATCAACTGATGATAATCCTCTA